TGTCAAGAGTTTGGTCTCTTTCACTTTTATTGTTAAAGTTTGCAGAAGTTTGCATTTTTAGCTATTGGAGTAGTATCATCAGCATTGGACAGGAGAGTAAATGACCTTGTTGCATTCCTTTGCCAACTTGGAGTCAATTTGTTTCATCATGTTCTGTTTTTATGTGGCTTCCTGACCGGGTATATAGGTTTTACATGAGAATATGAGATATTCCCATATTTCTAAGCATATTCCACAGTTTGCTATGATTGACACAATTAAAGGCCTTTCTTTACTTGACACATACTGTCTTCTTTTTTGTATTCTCAGTTATTCAATTTGTATTCAACTATAGTTTCCCTCTTAATATTTCAATTTTGTCATTCCAGTCTCCAATCATGAGTAGTATGTTTTGTTTGTATGTTCTGTCAATTTCAACTTGAACTTGATAATGGAACTCATCAACCTTTTTGCTATATTACCATGGTAGTGGGAACATAAATTTGAATTCATATTAAAGGATTATTCTCAAATGATATTATTCAATCATTGATTACATTGTAATCAATTACTGTTCTTGATATATCTTTTCTAACTATAAAAGCAATGGCATTGCTTTGTTTTTAGTACTCTGTATATTAAACAGCATGTTTTCAATTGAAAGAGTCCAGTCCCAGTCCATGTCAGTTTGCTGACTCCTCAGATGTTAAAATATAGTCATTTTTAAGGACAAAGGCTTTGAAACATCCTAACTTTTAAAATCTGCCTCCTAGTCCACATTATGCTGATAGCTCCTTTAAAAGATATTTTTGTTACACTCACAAATTAATTTTCACATGGATGTGATAGATTCTTTCCTTTGATTTGTTATTCAAAATGAACTACTGAATCAAACGTCTTTACTGATGCACAGTGCTCTGATTTAGCTCCAACTGGCCTTCACAGGCATAATTAGTTTTAATATTACAGAACCACCACCTGTCAGGCCTGCCGCTGTTCAAAACTCAAGAAAGAAAACCCCCAACTCCATTGTTTTAGAGAAGAGCTACTTTTACTAAGTTTGAAATTATAGCAGCGAAAGCAAGGCAAGATCTGATTCAAAACACGGGAAAGTTACAGATTGAAAGTCACCCCAAATCCCTCCCCCCCAGGGTCCAGCACTGAGAGTCCAATCAACGTCCAGTATGATATTGTGGAAAAGCCCATCTTTAAGTATTTCTCCCATATGAGTCTCAGGACAGTTGGGCTTGACAGAGTGTAAACACCTCCCTTCATCAGCACCATATTTCATGAGTGCAAACTCCCTTTCAGTTCTCATGAGACTACACCAGCTCACTTCCCCATCCCAAATACCCGAGCCGCCCCCGCCCCGGCCGCCCCATTACTATGGCAGCCAATAGCAAGCACGTTGAAGAAACCCATGCTGTAGATCCGGCTGACACTACCATTAAACTGTGCTAAATTATGTCTCCCTGTAGAAATTGCAGAGATAGTTTTATCACAATAATATTTTATAAAATGTTTTTCATATAACCTTTCATGTTGTTCTTTGTTTTTGGTGAGGTTTTGGTTTTTTGGCATCTCACAAGCAAAGCAGCCACACCTGCTGTTCTAATAACACTATTGTTTTGCAATCCCTTTTGGCAACTAAGAAGCTTTTGTATAGCTTAACCTATACAAAAGACTATACCTATTTTGTATAGCTTGTGACAGTTGGGAGACACAGAGGTCGGGAGGGGGGGGCTAGGAGGGCGCCGCCACTTCTTTCAAGTGGTGGCGCCCTCCTGCCCCCTCAGCTCATCCTGCTCCCCCGACAGCGACAGAGTGCAGAGCCCTGGACTCCGACTGGTGTACTTAAATGCCAGGTCCATGGTGAACAAAACACTCCTCGTCCGAGATCTTATAGACGAGGAGGACGCGGACCTGGCTTGTATCACTGAGACCTGGCTGGGGCCGGAGGGTGGTGTCCCTCTCGTGGATTTGTGTCCCCCAGGTTTCTGGATACTACACCAGCCACGACTCCAGGGGAGGGGCGGAGGAGTGGCGGTAGTTATTAAGGAAAGTCTTAGGCCTAGGGAGGTCACTGTTCCTCAGGTTGGCGGGTGTGAATCCCTCCTTTTGAAATGGGACCCTGGAATTCAGTCTGGGCTGTTGATCACGTACCTCTCAGCTGCGTGGCCTCAGCCCTGCCCGCACTACTAGATGTCTTAGCTGAATTGACGGTGGAATTCCCCAACCTTTTGGTTGTGGGAGATTTCAATCGGCCGGTGAGTTATCTGAGTTGGTGCGGGAGTTCATGACCTCCATGACGGCCATGGACCTGACTCAGATTGTACAGGGCCCAACTCATATTGGAGGACACACACTCGACCTTATTTTTCTCTCTGGACAGTGGATAAATGATCGTGGGGAGGGGATTCTATCTATTGACCCTCTGTCATGGACCAATCATTCCCTCCTTAGACTCGACTTTTCCTCCGCCATCCCCCATCGCAGGGGTGCGGAACCAGTAAGATGGTTCCGCCCCAGGCGCCTGATGGAACCCGAAAGTTTCCTGATGGAGCTTGGGTCATTTCCCGCCTCCTTAGCCCACGATTCATCTGAGACCCTTGTTGCGGCCTGGGAACAGGCTGCGGTGGGGGCCCTGGATCGAATCGCGCCTTTGCGGCCTCTGCTCTGACGCAGATCCTGGGCGGCTCCTGGGTTTACCGCGGAGCTCAGGGAAATGAAGTGTCAGAAAAGATGCCTGGAGGGTGGTTGGAGATCCTCCCGATCCGAGTCCGACCGAACACAACTAAGAACCCATATTAGGTCTTATCTTGTGGCGATGGAAGTAGCGAAACGTAACTATTTCGCCACTCTCATTGCATCTGCAGAAAATCACCCAGCAGCCCTGTTTAGAGTGACCCGCTCCCTCCTTAATCAGGGAGCGAGGGAGGACCCCTTACAGAGCCGTGCTGAGGACTTTGCACAGTTTCTGCAAGATAAAATCACTCAGATTCGGACCGGGTTGGACTCCGACTGGACAGAGTCCGTTGAGGTGACAGGGCCTAGTCTCGGTGGAGACATCTGCGTTGAGTTTGAGCCTGTTTCATTGGATGACGTGGACAGGATTATGAGTAGGCTGGGGTCTTCCACATGTTTACTGGACCCTTGTCCCTCCTGGCTTGTTTTGGCAGCCAGGGAGGTGACTGGAGACTGGATCCAGGCTATTGTCAACGCTTCACTAAAGGAAAGGGTCTTTCCCGCTGAGCTTAAAGAGGCGGTGGTTCGACCCCTCCTTAAGAAGCCTAACCTGGATCCTGACGTACTTAACAACTATCGTCCAGTCTCCAACCTTCGCTTTTTAACGAAGGTTGTTGAGTCCGTGGTGGCACAGCAATTCCCTCAATTCCTGGAGGAAACTGACTACCTGGATCCTTACCAATCTGGTTTCAGGCGTGGCCACAGCATGGAAATGGCATTGGTCGCCCTAGTAAATGATCTCTGGTGGGCCAGGGATGGGGGTTGCTCCTCCATCCTGGTCCTTCTTGACCTCTCAGCAGCGTTCGATACCATCGATCATGGTATCCTGCTGCAGCGGCTCAGGGGGATAGGGTTAGGAGGCACTGTTTTACAGTGGTTCTCCTCCTATCTCTCGGGCCGTCTGCAGTCTGTTTGGGCGGGGGGTCAGGGATCCTCCCAGAGGCCTCTCACTTGTGGGGTGCCTCAGGGCTCGGTTCTCTCTCCTCTGCTCTTTAATATCTATATGAAACCGCTGGGTGAGATCATCCGTGGTTTTGGGGTGAGGTATCATCAATATGCTGATGATACCCAGCTTTACATTTCCACCCCTGACCACCCTAGGGATGCCCTTTCCATGATGTCCCACTGCCTGGAAGTGGTGCGGGTTTGGATGGGAAGGAACAGGCTTAGACTCAACCCTTCCAAGACTGAGTGGCTGTGGATGCCGGCATCCCAGGATCTGGAGGTTCCATCTTTAATGATCGGAGGTGAAACCCTTGCTCCCTCCGATAGGGTCCGCAACTTGGGTGTCCTCCTGGATTCTCAGCTGTCTTTAGATGACCATCTGACGGCCGTAACCAGGGGGGCCTTCGCACAGGTCCATCTTGTGCACCAGTTGCGCCCGTTCCTAGACCGGGATGCCCTCGCCACAGTCACTCACGCCCTTGTTACCTCTAGGTTGGACTACTGTAACACCCTCTACATGGGGCTGCCCTTGGGATGTGTCCGGAGGCTTCAGCTAGTCCAAAATGCAGCCGCGCGGGTAGTTACGGGGGCGTCTAGATACTCCCGTGTAACACCTCTCCTGCGTGAGCTGCATTGGCTACCGGTGGCACTCCGGATACATTTCAAGGTGCTGGTGCTCACCTATAAAGCCCTTCATGGCTTAGGCCCGGGGTACTTGCAGGACCATCTCCAGCCGTTCTCCCATCGTCCTGTGCGCTCTCACAGAGTCGGCCTCCTCAGGGTGCCGTCGGCCAAACAATGTCGGCTGACGACCCCCAGGGGGAGGGCATTCTCTGTGGGAGCCCCGACCCTCTGGAATGGATTGCCCACTGAGCTCAGGACAGCCCCCGACCTTCTTTCCTTCCGTCGCGAGCTGAAGACATGGCTCTTCCGCCAATTAAACTGATCCGTTTGGGGGTACACTGGTATAATTTTAAATCGTTTTTTAATTGGGTTACTGATTTTAATTTGGTATTGTATTGTGATTTGTATTGAAGTTGTCATTTTCTAAGCCGCCTTGAGTCCCTAGGGAGAAAGGTGGCATATAAATCGCAATAAATAAATAAATAAATAAATAAATAAAACATTTGTGTTCATTTAGCAATTTGTAGCCACTTGCCCAAAGCAGAACAGGCCCTTGGGTCTTTTTGTCAGTGTTTCACTCAGGCATTGGATGGAGACTTATGATGTCAGATGGCCTCAGTTTTGTTGTACAAATCAAGAGAATCCCACAATTGTTGAACTCTTTCTCTACATCTTGGCAGCTCTCTTAACATTTAGTAATGCATTACCTTTGGTCTTGTAGATCTATCCATTGGGGAAAAAAATCAGTTATCTTGCAGAACTGGTTGTGAAACATCAAAAATGCCCAATCTTCTATTCAATGAGTAAAGATGATTCATAATTTTACTGGAGGTGTCAGTTATGATCACAATTCCAGGCTATGCAGTACCCTCATATTTGTATCAGTCCTAATTAGAAAGAAAAATTGCTTTTTTATTGAGAAGTCAGATTCAATAGAACTGACACCTAAGTACATAGGCATTGGCTATAACACTGGTCTAAGAAAGAAGTGTCTGGATTAAAATAAGAGTTGGATATCTGTTTATATATTATATAATATTTATAATATGTATCTGTATGTGTTAAAACAAAGATAAAAACTAATACAATTTAATATAGAATAAGGAAGCAAAAATAAAGAAGAAATAAAAAGAGAGATAAAAGTGCAAGACAGTAAGAAAAATCAGTATCCTCTTTGAGGATAAATTTAATAAAAATCAAATGGAAGAACTAACAATAAGAGCAGAATTGGTTAAAAACTGAATGAAAAGGATTAAAAACTAAACATCTCCTGGAAATGATCAATTGCATAGCTTTTGGCTCAAATAGCTGACTAGTTTACCTTCAACTTTAATTAAATAACTCAATGAAATATTACATAAAGAAAACTTCAGCCACTGGTTAATAACTGGCAATACATTTGATTCAAAGTGATATAGGGAAAGGGACAATATCCAGAAACTATAGACCAATAACATGCTTGCCTACAATGTTTAAATTTCAGGCATAATAGCAACATCCAGGATTATTCAACAGAAAATAACATCCTTCCTATAGAACAGAAAGGAAATAAATGGAAAGCCAAAGGTACAAAAGATAGCGATAGCAATAGTACGTAGACTTATGTACCGCTCCATACTGCATTACAGCACTTTTGGGGCGATTTATAATGACAGTATATTGCCCCCAAAAATCTGGGTCCTCTCTGTGCCAACCTTGAAATGATAGAAGGCTTAGTCAACCTTGAGCCAAGTCAAGATCGAAATTGAGGCTATAGGCAGAGTTAACCTGCAATACTTCACTCTAACTACTGTACCACTAGGGCTTCTGTTTGACAAAATACTTTTGGAAAACTGCAAAAAAATGAAAAACCTATTTACATATGGTCTGGATTGCTAAAAATTTGTTTGATTTGTTATCACATACAGTAGTTGCATCATCAAATGTTTGAAAACAACTGTTCTCAGAAAAAAATAATATTTATAGAAAAAATTGAAGTAGTGGAAGATAAAATTTGTGACTGGAAATGAAAAATATGGACTTGTTAACGTTATGAGAAATGTTGAGTAGTTAAGGTACCAGCCTAACACTCAAGAAACTGATTTTAGTCCTGCCTTAAGCATGTAAGATGTCTGGGTGGCTTTGAGCTAGTCAGTCTCTCTCAGCTCAATCCACTTCGCAGGATTATTTATGGAGAAAATAGGAGGAAAGAGTAGTGGGTATGTTCACTACCCTGAGTAATTTATAAAGTAATAAAGTAATAAAAAATAACTAAGTAACTAAATAAACCAATAAACAAACAAACAAACAAACAAATAAATCAATCTTCCAGGGTGATTCATTATCATCCTTAGCTGTGATCCCACTTTTAGTGATTTGGAAAAAAAACTAATCTTAAATGTCAAAGAGCAAAAAATATTTTATATTAGTTCCCAACCTTTTTTTGGCCATGTCCCACCTAAGCATCTCTAAAATCCTGATGCCCCCCAACCCTGTGCCCTACCCCACAGAAATGGGACCAGAATTTTATTTCAAATCAAACAAACAATTATTAAAGAAGAAAAACATGTACTGGCTAATTACCTAAAAGACAGCCAAGAACAAACATTGATGCACGTTAGAAATTGGAATGTACTGAACATTCAGGAAACAAAACATGAATATTGAAATAATGCAATAAAAACAAGAATGGAAGGTTGACAAGATAAAGCATTACAAAAAAATCGAGGGATAAAGTGGATAAATAAAAACCTGACAATGGCTTACAAAACCTGGAAAATTAGGGAGAAAATGTAGCGGGGTGGGGAGAAGGGAATAAGAGGAGGATGGAGTGTGAGAGGAGGGCTTCTTGATCTGGATGAAAAGCTGGAAGGTAAGAATAGGAAGGGATGCCTGGGGAAAAGGAGGCCTCTGAGAAGATAGGAAAAGAGGCTTAAGGGGGAATTAGAGAAAGAGGCTTGGGGAAAGGGAGAGAGAGTGAAGGCAATAGGGAGGATAGGAGAGGTTTCTTTGGGGCAAGCCTGAGGGAGAGAAGGGGGATAGGATAAGAGAGGCTTCTGTGGGACCAGTAGAGACTGGCAGCCATACCAAGAGGGCCAGGAGAACCCGGATTCCAGCAGCTCTTTCAGGGGTAGTACTACAAGTGGGGGCTCATCCGGGATTTCCTTTTGGTCTTTCTCCATGGGCCAGGATGGACTGGTCATGACTGGTTATGGTTACTGGAGTACATTGTGACAGCCACCATTGTGACAGAGAGAGGGGGGAGGGAGGGAGGGAGGGAGAGAGGGAGAGGGAGAGAGAAAGAAGGGTCAACCAGCCACATGAATACCATCTTATCACATGACCTGCCTGCTGGGAAAAGACTGACTACCACGACACTACATGATCCAGGCCAGTAGAGGTGCCTGAGTGAGGGACCAGTGTGGACCGGCAGCCATACCAAGAGGGCCAGAAGAACCCGGACTCCAGCGGCCCTTTCGGGGGTAGTGCTACAAAAATTTAAGTTTTAATTATGGCTGCCTGAGAGCAAGCTATTCAAACTAATGTAGTGAAGACCAGAATTGAAAAATTGTCAAATGACTCAAACTGAAGATTGTACAAAGAGGCAGAAGAAACAATAGATCATATATTCAGGTTGTACAAGATGACTGCATAAACTGATTATAAATAACAAACATAATGCAATTACCAAATGAGTCACTAGAATATCTTTAAAATTTATCAGGTGTCAGTAATGAAAAACTAATGAGAAACTTCAATATTGTGGAATTTCTGAAGACAAGTTGATAAAATATTGGCTCATAATACACCAGATTTAACTTTGGTTGATAAGAAGGAAATATGAATAATTGATGAGCAATATCAGGTAATAGTAGACTAGAAGACAAAGAATTGAAGATCACAAAGTATCAAGGTCTAAAAACTGAAACTGAAAGATTGTGGCAAAAACTGGACGTTGTGGTTCCAATTATCAGCCATAACAAAAACAGCATTTGGAAATCTGCGCATTGACAAAAATTGCACTGTCAGTTACAAAAAGACACACTGCTTAGATCTATAAATACTGTGTAATGTACCAATACGTTACAACATGCTTGGTTCTTTTGAAGAACTCAATGCATATGAAGCCCCACACCAGTTAGAGTTGTGATTTCACATTGTTATATATACAATAATAACACATCCCATCCAAAGTCTGCTCTAAAAAAATGTTATCCCCATATCTGGTTTATATTCCTATTTTATTTATTAATATGATTGATATTGCTACTCACCTCATTGTAGCAACTTTGGATGGTGAACATTAGATAAAAATACAATTCAAAAATATACAATGAAATATATTAATAAAATCTATAATAGCAGTTGAGGGCAAACTCAATGAACAGTAAAATAATAATATCTTATGGGTTCCCACCAACTACAGATACCCTTTTTTCATGTTGTTCATATCTATAAATATTGGTATCAAAATCAAAATACGCATTAAAAGATGAAAACTTTGAAATGTTCACCAATTTCCTGTATTATTCAACAGCAATCAGAAGACAATGATGAAAGTAAGTCACAGAACCTGCTGGGTGTTGGACTGAAGGTATCAGCTGTTCATTTTGTGTGTACTTCCATCCAGACAGAGAAATACATCCCCTTTCATTCCAATCTCAGTTGCAGGACTTCTGAGGCTTAACTTGCCTCAAATTTATCTCTGACTGAAAAACTAGAGCCTGTATTTATCTCAGATCAGATCTCATTAACAACACTATGGCAGTACATATGATAGGTCACTCCCAACAAAATCTCAGTGATATTGTCTGTGCACATTCATTTTTCTATTATCTCTGTGTATAGGCTTTGTAGGTTATATAGCATTTTGAAATTTTGCAGAACTTGTTAGACCGGATATGAATGTTGGACACATACACAAAATAAAAGGATGTACAAACATCACTGAAATATCTCTGAAATGCTAAGGTCTGTTTGCAGCCTGTATTTTGATCTTTCACCCAGCAAAACAGACTAATGCATCTCTCTCTCTCTATCTATCCCCCCCTCTCCCCCTCTCTCAAGTTTTGCAGTTGTATGAAAGCCTATACCTTCCTTAGACAAGGAACTTAGCAAGTTTAAATGTTGCATATATCTCATTCCATTCCCTGAATAAGGGCTAAGCATTAACTAATTCTCCTACACCCTAATAAATCAAGTGTCCTTGCTGCTTGAACTGAAACCAGATCAGTGATTGATAGTTTAGAAGAGAAACCTATGACTTGAAAATAGCCCAGAATCAGATGATTCCTAAGTACTCAAGAATATGATTTTGTTCAGCATAGCCACATACTATTTATAGCACCATCATTCTATTATTTTTAACCTAAAAATTTGAGTTTGGGGACAAATGGGGACACAAAAGCCCCCACCCCAAAGTAGGCATCCCCTGGGCAATAGTAAGGTCATCAGCAAATTTTCTTACCATGGACCATAACCTGTCCCTGCTGTAGGTGTAATATAAAAAGTGTGTTAAGGATATTGTTGTGTTACCAACCAGCAGAGTAAGTGCACAGAGAAACAGTACTGAGAGCAATGAATACAATATATACAAACTGGTTTAACAAAGCTTTTACTTTGTAGTGAAAAACAATTGCATAGTCTTTTAGTCAATCCAAGTCTTTAGCCATTCAAATCAGTCCAAAGTTACAGATATCGTCTTACCATACAAACAGCAATTCAATGCTGGTAAGAAATCACGATGATAGCAGATCCATCCACGATGAGAGCTTCTTCACACGACAGCAACAGTTCCAACAGTTCCAACAAGTCCAACCAATTCTGACCAACAAGTCAAGCAATAAGTCAAGCAACAATGACTATCGCTCGGCTCTCTCCTTATATACAGCTTACACTAGTAATTATCCACTTAAGATAAGTGAAGTCAGCAGTGCAATGACTCAACAGTACAATTAGGATAATTGGAGTCAGCAGTCAGTCAGCAGTCAGCAGTCATTAGTCATTATAATGACTCAGCAGTACAATTACTCAGCATTACATCTTAAAGTTATAGAATACATTTAAAGTGATAGAACACATATATTGCCTGGACAACTTGTTAGGCTTATACCATATCCTAACAAAATGCATATCATGCACTAAAACTCTACAATTTTCTTCAACCTGAGTATAGGAGTTGACTTTCAGCGACATGCTAATTATTGCATTCCAAAAAGGAACAAATTGGGACAAAAATTAAAATGAATCCTAAATTAAAATTCAGTTATATGAATGGTACTATTATTGTCCTATATTTAACATTTAGGCCTGCATTAACTTGGACACACTTCACCTTGGTACTTTGTTAAAAGCACTAGAAACAATGATTTCTATCACAGAGTCAAAGTTAAATGCTGGATGTGACACGATGTACTTTGCAAACTCTAAAAACCAGAATTAATCTCTCTTGACTGGTAGCCTCACTTCAAATAGTTCTCTACATATATAGGAAACACTGAAGGGGACCAAGATAAAATGGCATAACAGCTGCAAATTGATAACCATCAGTGCCAGTGGTGGGTTTCAAAAATTTTTACTACCGGTTCTGTGCGCATGGCTTGCTTGGTGGATGTGACTTGGTGGTCATGTGACTGAGCGGGCATGGCCAACATGACGTCACTCATGGCCACGGCCACTCAGTCACATGACCACCCCATCTAGCTACACCCACAGAAAAAGGTGGGACATTTTTTTGAATTTCAACCTATCTACTTATTTTCTGCCCAGGCCTGGCCTAATCTATCAAAGGCGTCCTCCTACATGCCGCCCCGCCCTCCCTTCACCAGTCGCACGCGTCGCCCCATTTCCCCTCCATCAGCGGCCCCAGCCCTAGCCACACTTCCTCCCCCACCCCCACCTCTTTCTTCGGGCTCCTTAACTTCCTCCCATGGCAACTGGTCTGGAGTCCAGAAGGCAAGCTGACCTCCGGTTGTTTTCGGCAGCCTCCAGCCAGCTGCCGCTGCCAGGAAGCAGCTGGCAAATAGGCGGCTGGGAGGCTTCTCACAGTAGCATCAAAAAAGAAAAAGAAAACTACCAGAGGTCACTGAAAAAGCCGCTGCCATTGTCACCCTGTTCTTCACACCGGCCGCACACGTGTATCCCATTGCCTGCTGCATTGTGCTCGGGCTGACGCAGCAGGCAATGGGATGCTTCAGTCCGAGCACAACACAGAAGGTAATGGGATGTGATGGCAGTGGCTTTTTTGGCAACCTCTGCTAGTTTTCACAGTTAGTGGCTAGGCGCCACAGCTGCAAAGCGGCTCTCAAAGAGGCAGCAACTGGGATGCTTTTTCTTTGTCAATGTGACTGCGAGAAGCCTCCCAGCTGTCGCCTCTTTGCCAGCTGCTTCCTGGCAGTCATGCGGGTGGGCAGGGCAAGTGAACGGCAACTGGGCTACCAGTTCAGGGGCATGGCCAGCCAGCGGTCGCTACCAGTTTGGCAACCCAGGCCAAATTACCACTACCAGTTCGCCTGAACCAGTGCGAACTGGTATAAACCCACCACTCATCAGTGCCAAGTCTTTGCAGATTTGTTTCACTAGAATTATTCAGTCAAATAATTTTTCCATAGCTCTAATAAAATGTCTTTTTTGAATACATTGAAAATTACAATTCAGTGGCAATTTTGAGAACTTCCTCATATTTCATCCATGGTTTATGAAGGCTACATGTGTGGCCAGGAGACGTTAGAATGTGCTTCCTTGCCATATAGTCTTGTCTCTTCTTTCTGTCCATCATTTCTTGCATGTTGTATTTTGAGATAGCTGGAAGGCAATGGTTGGTTTTTCTGGGAAAATTAAGAAGTCTTCAAGATGTAAAGGAGTTTCTTAGTCTTTGCTCCAATATAGCACAGCAAAGCTGACATTCAGGATGAAAACATGTGTCTGTCTATTTCAGGATCTTATTTTGACAGACAACGGTTTCCAGGATCTCAGGAAGAGGCATTCTCTTGCATTTGATTTACCTGATCATTTTAATAGCTCAGGAATTCATGTCAGAATAATCTGTATGCATCTGCTCTTTGGGGAATACATCTCCTTCCCTATATATCAGCTTATTTATCATTATAATTAAGACCATTAGTTTTAGAAGGAACAGCTCCATCTCACGTGTGCAAACTAGTTCAGAAATCAAAAGCAT